CGCGGTACGCCGGCCACAGCGCTGGCCGCGGCGGCCATTGGAGGGTGAACCAACGGCAAAGGAAGACCTTTCTCTCTGTCTCTCTCTCTCTCACTGTCCACTCTGCCTGTCAAAAAAAAAAAAAAAAAAGACTTAATGCGATGAGCCACATATAGTCCTTACATGGTATCTAGCACCCAGAATTGCTCAATAAATGGCAGTCATTACAAGTGTTGTTGTTGCTTTAATAACTACTGTTTGCCAGGCACTGGGCTAGAGGCTGGGGACACAATGGCAGTGAAGATTCAAGATTCTGCTCCTGCCCTGGAGAAACTCAATCCATGAGCACATCTGGCAATCAAACAAGCAATGATAATGCAGTGCAATTGATAGGGTGGAGCAGGATGTATATGGGAACGCCTAGAAGGGCACATGACCCAGATGTAGGAGAGCGACGCCATGATGATAGGGAGGAGGGAGGGGTGGGGGAGAAGAGCTATCCAGGTGGAGGAGGCAGTGGGTACAGGGGCGAGGCAGGGAGGTGCAGCTTGTGCGTGATACAGCTCAGCAGGGCCAGCCAGAATGTACACCATGGTGAAGGGCGTGAGGGTCTTGTGTACACCAGGCCAAGGAGGGCAGATGTGAGTACAGAGAGGGCAATGGGGAGACAAATTCTAACCAGAGAGAGGGCAAGGTGCATTTTGTGCCTGCAAAGGTCACTCTGGCTTCCATGTGAGGAATGGATTGGAGAAAGACAAGATTAGAGCCTGAGAGACCTATTAGGAGGCCATTGTGCAGGTCTCCGAGAGGTTAGGGTAACCTGGACAGGTGGCACTGAAGAGGGTGGAGTTCACAGAGGGGCCAGCACTGTGGCGCAGTGGGCTAAGTGCTGCTTGCGGCATCCCATATCAGAGCTTCAGTTTGAGTCCCAGCTTCTCTGTTTCTGATCCAGCTCCCTGCTAATGTACCTGGGAAAGCAGTGAATGATAACTCAAGTACTTGTCACCTTGCCACCCACATGGGAGACCTGGATGGAATTCCCAGTTCCTATCTTTTTTTTTTTTTTTTTTAAGGTTTATTTATTTATTTGAAAGAGTTACCGAGAGGAGAGGGAGGGAGGGAGGGAGGGAGGGAGAGAGAGAGAAAGAGTTCCATCCAATGGTTCACTCCCCAAATGGCCGCAATGGCTGGCTGGAGCTGTGCTGATCCGAAGCCAGGAGCCAGGAGCTTCTTCTGGGTCTCCCACGTGGGTGCAGGGGCCCAAGCACTTGGGCCATCTTCTACTACTTTCCCAAGCCATAGCAGAGAGCTGGACTGAAAGTGGAGCAGCCGGGTCTTGAACTGGCGCACATATGGGATGCCAGCGCTTCAGGCCAGGGAGTTAAGCCACTTCGCCACAGTGCAGGCGCGCCCCCCCCCCCCCCCCCCCAGTTCCTGTCTTCAGTCTAGCCCAACTCCAGCTGTTGTGGCCATTTGGGGAATGAACCAACAGATGAAAGATATCTCTCTCTCTCTCTCTCACTCTCTTACTCTGCCTTCCAAATACATAAATAAAATATTTTTAAGAAAGAGGTCACAGAGTCGACAAGGAATGTGCAGGAAATAGAATCTGCAGATGTGGTGATGAGTGGGTAGGCAGAGAGAAGAGGGGATCCAGGGCCATGCTTGAGGTTCTGACCTGGGTAAATAAAGTCCAGGAGATCTATGCGAGAGTGGCCTAAGACCTGGAAAGAAAGAAGCCTCTCTGGCCAAACATGCCACTCATTACTCAGCGTAAGAGGTTGCTGCAGCCAGCTCTCGGACTGATGGCTCCATTTTAGACAAATCCATTTGCAGTCCCAGGGGAGAGTACAGTCCAACTACCAGAAGCAGCTATGTCAACCCCAGAGGGACTTGCTTCCTTCCTGCTTCTGTCTAGCCGGGGAAAAATGGCCAGCAAAGAATGCTCTTGCTGCTTAACTGTAGTTGTGGTAGAAGGCAAACTGAGCAAAGAAGGAAAACACAAAGTGACACTCTGGATTTGATTGTCAACAACCATCAGCATTTATTCAATAAACATCAGCCCTGTGCTCAGGGCTTCAGATACAAAGAGCATAATATAGACACAACCTGAGGATTCATCTCCAAGCAGGAGTATTTTTTTTTATTTTATTTTTTGACAGGCAGAGTGGACAGTAAGAGAGAGAGAGACAGAGAGAAAGGTCTTCCTTTGCCATTGGTTCACCCTCCAATGGCCACCGCAGCTGGCGCACTGCGGCCGGCGCACCGCGCTGATCTGATGGCAGGAGCCAGGTACTTATCTTGGTCTCCCATGGGGTGCAGGGCCCAAGCACCTGGGCCATCCTCCACTGCACTCCCTGGCCACAGCAGAGAGCTGGCCTGGAAGAGGGGCAACCGGGACAGAATCTGGCACCCCGACCGGGACTAGAACCCGGTGTGCCGGCGCTGCAAGGTGGAGGATTAGCCTATTGAGCCGTGGCGCCTGCCATATATATATATATATTTTTTTTTTTTTTTGACAGGCAGAGTTAGACAGTGAGAGAGCGAGAGACAGAGAGAAAGGTCTTCCTTCTGTTGGTTCATCCCGCAAATGGCCACTACGGCCAGCACGCTGCGCCAATCCAAAGCCAGGAGCCAGGTGCTTCCTCCTGGTCTCCCATGTAGCTGCAGGGCCCAAGCATTTGGGCCATCCTCCATTGCCTTCCCAGGCTACAGCAGAGAGCTGGACTGGTTCCCAGGCCACAGCAGAGAGCTGGACTGGAAGAGGAGCAACCGGGACAGACCGGCGCCCCAGCGCGGACTAGAACCCAGAGTGCCGGCATTGCAGGCAGAGGATTAGCCCAGTGAGCCTCGGCGCCGACCCAAGCAGGAGTATTTCTTATGGTAAATTAGTGCATTGGCATTTGGGTTTATACATCAGTGTCTCCTGTATTTGGTTACCTGAGTTAGTCTCTAGAGTCTAATCACCTATATACTTTCCAAAATTGAGTTTTTGAACTTCAAAGCTGATAAAGAAACTTTTAAAAATACATTTAGTTCTCTATTTGAGAGGCAGAAAGATCAAGGATGCAATCTAGGCCTTCCATGTGTGTGGCAGCAGTGTAAGTAGCTGAGCCATACCACTGCCTCCCAAAGCCTGCATCAGCAGGAAGCTGGAGTCAGAACTCAGATATCAAATCCAGGTAGGCCAGTGTTGGGCTCTGGTGTTGTAATTGCTAGGCCAATGCCTGCCTCTGCTAAGGAGACTTGCACAAATAGGAATCATTCTGCTGGAAATGACTGGCAGGCATTAGCACTTGCTCCAGGAGTAATTTGACGGCAGGAAGAGGCCAGATGTGTTACCACTGAAAGTTCCAGAATATTCTCTGAAATCTGAGTTAGGAAGTGGGTCCGACATTAGTCCCAGGTGTCCCCTGGGGAAGGGTCTGGTCGTGGCCCTTGGATTCAAAACAGAGCTTGTCCAGCATTCTCGATCCACGGCACATCTTCCCATTCCCCATCCCCCCTCCAGAATTCGGGGCGCTCTTTGGGGTTACAAATGCAGTCTCCATCCAATCAACCAAAAGGCAGTCATGGTTTGGTCTAGTCCTTGCTTTCTAAACCAAGGTCAAGATCCATGATAGCAAGAACCAACCTCAACCATGAGAGCGACCAGCTGTTGGGTTTTGGCTCAGAGGAGGCCAAGGTGCAACTTCCTTCAGTCATCCCAAATCCAGGTTCGTCCACCACCAACAGCCCAATTCTGACCTCAGCAAGATCAAAGTCCCGCACCTGAGATGCACCAGGGTGTTGGGGGCCTCATCTGCGTGGCTACTCCCATAGACCCCTTGGTCTGTCCCCCAGATGGTTGGTGACAGCATCCCAAAGCCAGTAAAATGGTGCAGCCTTATCTGTTGCGCCATCATCTTGGGTTCTGCCCCACCCCTGTCCCACCATTGCTGGAAGCCAGGCGACCCCATGGCCCAGCCACCGGTGTTAGCTCCACCCCCACCCTAATGGGATTCCCTATTCCTACTTCCCTGCCCGCCTGGGGCAAAGGTTTAAGAGGACCTTTTCTTTCTCTCTTTGGATCTCTGTTAGCTCTCCTCCTCTCCTACCCTCTGGCTTCCCCCACCCAACAATAAACCCTTCTAACTCCGGTGTTTGGTGTGTTTTGCGGCTGTGGCGGCTTTCCAGTGACCCGAGGATCATGGTGAAACTGACCGCTCAGAACAGGCCCGGATGTCCTTTCTGCTTCCCGAGAGATCATCAAAACCCTCAAGAAACCAGAAAATTATTAACACAGGGGAAGCAACTTGTCGATTTTGCCTGGCAGATTCGCCCCAATCTTTAGCCAGAGAACTCTCTGGAACCACTCAAGGGATGGAGGACTGGCTAGTTTGTGGGCTGTAACGCCAGTGGTGGCCGCCACCTTCGTGACATCATAGATGACATCAAGGGTGGCGCGTTGGACCGCCCGGCTAGTTCAGAAGTGCAAGGGAAAACGTTTCACTAAAAACAGAACCCGAACCCAAACTCTGAAAGAATGTGATTTTTAAGTTTTTGACTGAGTTTCTGGAGTTCAATCATGAGGCTGCTGCAACCTCTCTTCCTCAGGTTTCCGAAGGCAAGCAGGTGGGTCTCCATGTTCTCCCCGCCCGCGTTGTGGAGCCAGAGGAGAGCTCGGGGCATCCCTGGAAAAGGCGCGCGGGGCTCCCCGAGGACCGGGATCTGGACAGCCGCGGCGGCGATGGCGGCGGGGTGGCCGGCTTCCCCGAGCTTAATTAAAGATGCCTTCCTTGCGTGGTCACGGAGGCGGCGCAGCGGGCGCCGGCGCGGGCTCCCGGGCCCCAGAGCGCAGAGCAGCGGCGCGAGCGCGGGAGCCGCCCACGCGCGGCGGGGTCGCCCGGGACGGCCCTCGGGACCGAGCTCCGCCCCAGCGGCCGGCCGAGGCCCCGCCCCGCGCGCCACGCCCCTCGCCGATGACTCAGGGCGGAGCTCCGCGTCGGCCCGCGCCGCCAACTTCTCCGGATGGGGCCAGAAGTTTCTAGCCGGCCAGTTGCTGCCTCCCTCTCTCTCCTCCTTCCCCTTTGGCAGCGAGGAGGCTATTTCCAGACACTTCCAGCCCTCTCCGGCCACGTCACCCTCGCCTTTAATTCATAAAGGTCCCCGGCGCCGGCTTCCAGGACACGTCGGCGGCGCGCAGGGCTCTCCTCCGGCCGCGGCCCACACAGCGACGGTGCGCCCCGAGGCCCGAGACCCCGCGCCCGGCATGAGCGCCGCCACCCACTCGCCCGTGGTGCAGATGGCGTCCGGCAACGGCGCCGCCGACCGCGACCCGCTGCCCCCCGGCTGGGAGATCAAGGTCGACCCGCAGACGGGCTGGCCCTTCTTCGTGGACCACAACAACCGCACCACGACGTGGAACGACCCGCGCGTGTCCCCCGAGGGCCCCAAGGTGAGCCGGCGGGCCCGCGGCCCGAAAGGGACGGCGAGCGGCGGCGGGGAGCAGGCCGAGGACGGCCGCCCCTGTCGTGGACACCGGCCCCCACGCGCCTCTCCCGGCCCAGTCGCCTCCCGGGACCCGCCCTTGGCCGGCGTCGGGGCTAACGCGGTTCCCCGGGGCGCCCGGGCGCGTTCAGCGGGGACGGGGGGCAGCGCAGTGAGCCGGCGTTCGGGGAGCGGTCAGCCCCGGAGGCCTGTGCGGCCGGCTCGGCCTCGCGTCCCGAGGCTGGGGGTTCGCCCCGCGTGGGCGACGGTCCCCTCTCTGCGTTTCTTGACTCCACTCCCCGCTCCCGGGGGTCTCGAGTCTTTTTCCTGGGACCCGCTGTGCCCTCTAGTGCGACCCTTGGGGAGGAAAAGCCAGGTGCTGCCTTCCTAGGCAGCCGCTGGAGAGAAGGAGGGAGAGAATTTTCCTTGTTATGGTATTCAGATACTCCGCACTTGCTTCCAGTCCACAAATAACCGATGAGCGAGCCTCGAGGGTGGCAGGTGTATGCCTCCCCTACGCATGTGCGGGGAGGTGTGCGCCCTCCCCCTCAGCGGAGAGGGGGAGGAAATAGGAGATTGGGAACGGGTTTGTTCGTTAGAAGACGATAATTGACTTTACTGCTTGTTCAGTTTTCTGTGAATCTGAACGTTTTCAAGGTTAAAAGCTTGGGAAAATACATACACTTAAAAAGAGAGTGAATGAGTCCAGGCACAATAAATGCAGTAAAGAGCTGGTAAGTTATTTTGAAGACTTCTAAACTCGCCCCATCATAAATGCTTTATAAACCATTATTTTGGAAGAAAGACATGTATTGTCTGCCTTATTTTTTTGTTCTTAAAAATATGAACAAAATTCTGGTACCCAACAGGGAGATAGTGTACATTCAGCAGTTGTACATTTACAAGAAATTAATTGTATATTCCTGAAAATTGATGTAAGAGGCTGTAATTAGCTGGGATGGGCATAATTACATATACCTTTGTGTGTGTCTGTTCAGCCCTTTATTGGGTGAAGCTTACATTATTTTCAGGCCAGCCCCCTTTCTGCAGATCCAGACCCTTAGGGTGGGACCCTGTTCTTGCTCTTAGACCACAGGTAGCCACAGGCGGGCAGAATCTGCAGGCACTGTGTCTCCAGTGAAGATCAGGTTTGAACATACTGGTTGCCAGCACTATGTTTTCAACTTGAAACTTACCCAGCAAGTTGTGATCTTCTGTACCCACTGCCGGATAGGGTTAGGCTGTGGTTTCATAAACCTTTATAAGGAGGGAAAAACAGGTTGAGCTACTATTATCCTTCTCAACAAATAGAAAATAATAACTAAGTCAGAAGTCCAGCAGTGGAAAAGTTGATCTGAATAGGAAACAACCAGAATGCTAAAGTTGAGACATCTTCCAGGATCATTTGGTTCAGCCTCTTTTCAGTTGATAAACCCAACAAGTTCATGTGTTTTTTGAAGGTCATGCAGCTAATTCCAAAAGCAAGGAGAGAGCTCGGTGGGAAGGCCTACTAAGAGGCAGTGTGGATCCGTTGGGAAGAAGTCAGAAGTAGCTTGAATTGTTATGAAACTGACGCATGCGGGCTGGAATTCTTGATTACGCGATTATCTTTGTGTCCTCTCTGTTATGGGGTCACTGACCTCTACCGTGTGTGTTTGCTTGGATTCTGATGGCTCAACGTGATCAACTCAAGAGGAGTTTTCTTAACCAAATTAGCAGCTTGGATTTGTCCGTGCAGCAGCGGGAGAACACCAGCACTCAGCCCATGCAGTGTTGGGGCCTCATTATTTCAGACCTGCGCTTTGATATCGGGGTGACTCACTCAGTTTCACTTACATTAGGTACACCGTACTCCAGACTAAATATGGTGGAAATGCCTTCCATCCAATTTTACATTAAAAACTGGGTTCTTGGGGTCGGTGTTGTGGCGTAGCAGGTGACACTGGTGTCTCATGGGCACTGATTCGAGACCCAGCTACTACACTTCCAATCCAGCTCCTAGCTAGTGTGGCTGGAAAAGCAGCAGAGAGTGGCCCAAGTGCCTGGGCCCCTGCACCCGTGTGGGAGACCCCAAGGAAGCCTCTGGCTCTTGTCTCAAGCCTGGCCCAGCCCTGGCTGTGGTGGCCATTTCAGGAGTAAACCAGCAGATCTCTTTTTATCTCCTTCTCTATAATTCTGCCTTTCAAGTAAATAAAAAAATGGATTCCTGAAAAGGGACATGGCCTGAAGGGCTGATTTTGACAGAGGTGAGCTGAGCTTCCGGGAGCTCCCTCACGTTCAGGTGGAAGTGCTGTCGGATATGAGCATGAGGGGAGGGCTTCCTGGGGAGGACTCTGCTGTGAGATATTTACAGTCTCAGCGTGGAAAAGACTGGAGCCGGTGTTTTATTTAGCCTTATTCCCTTCTCAGTTGGTCCAGTGCACTCTCCGGAAGTGGTTGGAGCAGGTCTTTTATCCTGGTTTTTACGGAGGAGCAAGAGAGCACAGGAGGTTGATTTCTGTACACTCGGGCTTCCCTCCAGTCTTCTGGCAAGTTCCTACCAGTCCAGGCCCCTCCCCGACAGAGAGGTTGGCGTTCACTTTGGAGTCAGGAGATGCACACTTCCTGCAAGGCCACTCCCCCTGGCTTGCTGCCCTGCATAAACTGTGCAGTTCCTTCCTCCCTGGCAGGAGAGGGGCTCTGCTCCCAGGGGAGCAGGGCTGCTTCGGCTCTGGATCTCGGGGACCCCCAGGCTGACAGTGTGCAGGGGGACCTTTTAAGATCACAGATTTCAGTTGTGTTTCTTCCCCCTGTTGAATCTGAATTGCTCAGTGTGGAGGCCAGAAAGGTTTTCTGGTCCTTCTGACTGTGCCCTGCTGGCACTGGGAACCCCCAGTGGCCGATGGTGCCCTCTGCAAGAGGGGGACTTGGCTGGAATCCCCCAAGTGACGTGGCCTTCACGTCTTCCCGCAGAGTGCTGCCTTCGCTGCCACTTTCCTTTGCAGCAGACTCTGCTGGGGCCTGGCCTGGGCCTCTCCTCGGAAGAGTGTAAATGCAGTGTCACAGCCTCTGTAGAGGGGCAGCGCAGGGTGGGTGGTGGTCAGACCTGGGCGGGCCCAGGTCCTCCTGTCCCTCTGTGTTGCCCACCCAGCAGAGTCTCGCCACCAGGCTGTGACGGATGGCACCCAGGTGCCGTGAGAGGCGGAAACGGCTTTCTGTTATGACTGAACTAGACCCATTTGCTCTTCAGGTTCCGTAGAGCCTCCCAGATGGTCTCAAAGATGAGCTCATGTTGCTGTTTCCCAGGGGATAGCAAGCTGCTGTGCCCCTAGCAGAAGCAAAAAGCAGTCAGGAAGTGAGTGGCCTTCTCCCCTCACGTGTGTGGAGAGCTGGAGTGCTGGCTGCACAGACTTGGGACAGGAGAGGGACTGCCAGGAGCTTGGCAGTGCGGCTCCTGTAAGACACTCACGTTCCCCTCAAAGAACAGCCTGTGCCGCTCAGAGTGTTATTTGTCCCGTTTTGTGGTTGATTTGCCCTTAATGAAAGTTGCGTCCGACCTCGGAAATAACGCTTAGACACCTTGCACAGGACAAGCGGGGGCCGCGGGGGCCTCCGGTACTGACAGATCTGCCATCACAGTCGCCTGGGGACTTCTCTGGCCCTTCTGCCTCCCGTTGTCCTGAATCAGGTCTGCACCCCCAGTCTGCTTCTGCGTCAGAACTTACGCAGCCGGCCTTTGGAGGGAAGGTTCCAGATCCCTTCCTTTTGCAGCTGCAGAAATGGATCTCTCTCTCCCACTTGGCACTTGTGGTACCCTGCGGAGTATCTGGTGTTACCTAATCTCCCTGTGCTTTTATGAAGGTATCTTTGGGGTGCTGGCAGTGTTGCAGGAAGCCAGGTAGCTTGCAAAAGCTTAATGAGAAAGATTTTCTTTAGCGAGGACTGAATAGGGTAGATATTTTTGGGGGTCTGTTAGCATGTTTAGATATACATGCCAGGTGTGGGTGTGGGCTTCTACCACCCTTCTCCCTCTAAATCCTCAGTTCAGCTCTCTGTAACAAACTATTAAGTGTGATCTGTGTATGAGAAAACAGGGGCTGGACCTGGCCTATGGCAAAACAGATAGACTTGATAACTTTAGCCCCATTGGCTTCTGCACAGTGATGGGTAGGTTTGCCCTGGGAGGGGGGGGTCTGGCTGCTTCTGCCTCAACCCCAGGCAGTAAACAACCCTGAACCCACCTCTGTACCCTTGATCAGAAGTGTGGGCCCACTTCCCACTTCCTGAGCTCGAGTCTGGAGGCAGGAGATGGACCAGTGTCTTCACCTGCTCATTTGTGCTGTCTGAGGTTTGCTGGGTGCCGCTACGTGCAAGTCACGGTGTGGAACAGCAAGAGGCCTGCTCTGGCCCTTCGTGCCATTCTCCATGAAGCATGTCCTGCCTCTCCGCAGTCGGAGGAAGCCATACCCACTCTGGACTCCATATTACTTTAATTTTCCCAAGGTTAGCACTTTCCTGCTTTCTGCGGGGTCATTTCCCTGTTGAGAGTTCGGAGGCAGGCAGAGCCTGTCCCAGTCTGGGTTCCTAGTGGGGTGCACATGCTTTGAGCTAGTGGGTCTGTGCAGAGCAGTGAGGCCTGGGCGTGGCCCCTCCAGTGTCCAGACTGATACAGAACCCTGGCCTCACCAAGTGTAAGGTGTGTGTGTATCACTGGGGCCTCCTATTGCAGCTTCAGCACCGTCCAGGGCTTCCAGATGTACCCGGAGGCGACTCCTTTTGAGCACTCTCTGAAAAGGCCGTTTCTGCACAGTGACTTCAGTGTTGATTCCAGGTGTGCATCCTTGGGGGTCTTGGAGAAACCCCCACTTTTGATTTGGGGGGTGGAAAGATCCCCTCTGTCCAGTCGTTCACTCCTCAGATGTCTGCAATGACTGGGGCTGAGTTGGGGCTGAAGCCAGGAACTCAATCCAGGTCTCCCAGGTTGGTGGC